AATCGCTGAAACAAAAGTGATACAGCAAGCAATAGCAAGAAGGAGAAGGTTAAGCACAAATAGATATTCTGTGGATGATCTTAAAAGGAATCACGTTAGTTAAACATAAGCTCCTTTCTAGTCTAATTAGCAAATACAGTGACATCGAGAAATATCACATTTCTACTAGCTCTTTGGAAACACCATGCCTTTTATCTTCCAATATTGCTGCTGGTGGGGTTGGATTCCAGCATGCTCCATAATTACTTAAATGAATCATAAAATAAATGACAGGTCTGTAGTCCATTTAATGTTGTTTTAAAAGCTTCTAAGAGAAAACGAAAAGCCTTTTTAGAAGGTCTGCAGCTCACTCAGTGTCTGTGGGGTATCTGAATTATTGCCTCATGAATAATCAGGGCAGGAGAAGCCTCACAGGTTGCCACACAAATTAGTGTAAGGGAATATGAATACGTCTGTCACAGCTTCGCCTGACAAGGCTGAAATAGATAGCTGGATTTCACCCAGGGGTTTGTGGTGCCTGAGACGATGGCCTTGGGATGTCACCTGGTCCTGCGACACAGCAGGGATCAGGAGCAGGACTGCGATCCGTGGCACCCCTCCCAGTCCGGCCAGCTTCCGGGGGGGGCTGCAGCCCCCCGGGGGGGTGGGGGGCCCCCCCCTGCCACAACACTGCAGTGTCCATGTGGGCACCACGAGGGGGAAAAGTCACCCCTTCCTCCCTCCCGCTTTACTTCATGCCTCCTCACAGTCAGCCACCCCCCCGACATGCTGCCCTCCCTTTTACTCACCAGGCACACACAGATACATACCACTGGTAATGGTGTACTGCCTCTTAACTCACCTACCCAAGTCTACGAGGAAAGACCCAAAATAGGACAACATGGCAACACCACATCTGTGTTGTGTCTCAGTGCCTGGACAAGGACCGGGCTTGGACCATCCTTCCCCACCACCCCTTCCCCCCATGTCCCCCCCTCTGCACAGAGGAAATCTCCATGCACACAGAGTACTCCAAGGCATGCATCTTCCCCTCCCCCTCCTTCCCTGAGTACCTGGAGCCACCAAGCTCCCTCATTCTCTCTTTGGAGGTACCACATCTCTTGCTTGCTCCCCATTCCCCTGGTTTGACTTCCTTCTATGTAAATCACTGCAACCTGCTAGAGTATTATTAAGCTGCTGAGTACATATAATTTTCATATGAAATGACAGCTAATGTCTTCAGTTTCCACATAGCCCAGCCTGCTTTCGGGAGAGGCTTAATGGCTTTAAGCAAAGTCTGCTTCCCTTCCCTGTTTATCATCTTCTTATCTGTCTTGCAGGAGTATGAGACATTCTGCCTGCAGGTTTGGGTGAGGGAGATTACTGCCTTGCTATGGATGTCTCTAAAATAAAAAAAAGAATTACCATCTGTTGCTCAAAAACACCTTTTTTTCTTTTTAGCAGAGCAGATTTAGGACTTTTTCTCTCATTATTCATTCTTTGCTGGTGTACAAGCACCTTCTGGAGGGCAATCCTCTGAAAAAATTGTGAGAGAAATCCTGAGAGCACTTGGTGGTCTAGGCAGGATTTTGCAGGTGAGGGAGGGCTCAACAGGCTGCCAACTCATCCTGGAGTTGGCCTGAAGAAAGTCGCTGTGTGGAGGCAAAGGTGGGACTGGGGCTGCAGAGACCCAACACAGCTCCTCAGAAGTCCCTGGTTTGGCAGCCATCAGTTGCAGGTTAGAGCAGCAGCAGGTCGAGGGGTGGGGACAGGGCACCCACCTGCCTGGGTTAGCCTTGCCCAGGGTGATGGACAGATCTGAGGAGAGAAGGTCAAGGGAAAAAAAATAACAAACAGTGTCCCTGGTGGCTGGAAGAAGATGGATATCTGAATGAGAAGAAGAAAGAAGGTAGTTTGGATATTGAGTTTTATATGTCTCCTGATGGCGACAAGCCTGGCTGAGCAATGTAAGTGGATACTGCACTAAAAGGGAAGAGGGCTGCTAGGCTATGCAATGTGAATCCTATTAAATGCCAACAATAGCAAATTTTGTTTTGTCCTGTTAAATCCCTAGATTTTTTTTTTATACCTTAATTGGATTTTTTAATGCCTACAATAAGGCTTTAGAATAGGTTTACACAGAAAAATGTCATGGACCCAGGTACTCTCCTCATCCTGCTTCTCTCCCCACTGTGATGCCTCTAGATTAGGCTGCAGAAGAGAGCGCTGAGTGCAAGTGGACAGGCTCATCCCAAAGGCATTGCTCAGCAGGCACTTCTTTCTCACTGAGACAGTTGGAACCAAATTGGCTCCAGAATACTAAGCCCTGCAGTAACAGGCAACGGGGCACAATTTTGGGGTGTTGACAAAGTTCCCACTTTACACAGGAAAGGAGTGGTCTGTGTATTTTAGCTACTGAGAATTGCAATGTTAAGTGCTTAGGCAATTAAGACCATAAATCTCATTGATTTTCTGCCCAGGAAAGAGACTTAAGTAACTAAGACACTTTGGGAACTTTTATTACAAGTCTCTGACTACGGCTTCAGCATGTTTGTCTTTAAAATATGGCCTTGATTCCTGACATTGTCTGAGAGAAGGTATGTATTGTGTTGTTCCTCGCTCGATTTTCTGCACCCTGCATTGGCAAGACAGAAAAAAAATCCACTTTGCATATATGAATGAGAGGAAGAACAATAAAGGCCATGATTTTGTCACAGCTATTTCCATGACAAAACCAAAGACTTTTGAGAGGGTATTTTCTTAGTACAATGTCACTGTGGTTTGTCATTGAAATCACATCTTAGACAAAAATCAAAGCCCTGGCTTCACAAATTATCTGTGTTCCCCTCGGTCTGTGATGCCTCTGACAATACCACAGCGTCTCTTCGTGCACATAAAATGCAAGTTAAATATGTTGTGCAGGCATCTTAAATGTTTTACAGCTAGGAATGAATGTGTAGTCATATTTTAAAAAAGCATATTAAATGTATTTTTTTATAAAGTAGTAGGACCATGAAATAGTTGAGAAGAAAACAGCAATAAGAAGTCAGGAAAAACAGAATTAGCCCGTGGAAACCAGCACCTTGGACCGTGTTTGGTAAATAATGGGCCTGATTCTGATTTGCTAGAGAGCAGCCCTGGACCTGTGGCTTGGCTGGGGCAAAACTTGAGTTGTGCTACTGCATGGGAGGCCACACGAGGTTACAGACCTCGCCCATCTATAACACTGACAGTGTCTCTCAAAATCAGTCCGCGTTTGACTGACAGGGAAATCCCGAGCTGATGGAGCTGTTCTGTGCCATGTTTGTCCAACAAGCCTCCAGGTCTTCACCAGGATAGACTGACCTGCCAAGCAGTGATGTCCTGAAGAACGCAGTGACAC